ATATCATATTCAATGACTAGGCAAAAACTAAGATGAGCGACTAACTATAGAGGTCTACACATCATACCAGACTCACATGTTACAAGAGCTGAGTATTCAGTTGGATTCTAATTTTAGCTGGTGACCCTCATCACACTCACCAAATGAAGAGGGCACGTGTCACTGCTCGAATCCATCCACCCCCTTCCTAAATAAGCAATGGAAAGTTTGAGTCATTATATTCTTTGGAGTGAAATCCGTGTAACAGATTATCTTGCTAACAAAAGCCACCACGAAACATGAAAAGGGCATTTTAGACACTTGAGAAAAGATCCTTTCCCGATTATGTGAGAAGAGGGTTTTCTGATTAAACATGCATGGATAGGGCTGTTATAAATGTGATCAAGATCAGTCAAAGAGAATAGGATTCTCTATCTATTAAAAATGGCGGCCACTATTCTATTCAAGATGATGATGGCATGGAATTGAAAGGCCAGTTCAAATGGGCCATTATAAAAGGAGCTAGAATTGTTCAAAATTAACATATACGGCATCTCCAAATGAGATTGATTCCTCCCCAACAAATCTTCAAGACTAATTAATATTTAATGGTAAAGTGATTAGGACTAATTGCAAAAAAAAAAACATGAAGAAAGACCAGGGAGGAATCTAGGTGGGGAAGCTAAAAAAAATATCGTAAGTGGAAAATGTGGAATATATATATATATTATTAATTAATTAACAATTTTTAAGCCAGACCAATTTGGAGGATCGACGTTCATGTGGCCAACGCAAAGCATCTAGAGTTTCATGTGTGTACAGTACAGTGTGCTCAGTTTTTAAATCACTGGATTCTCTCAAGAATCCAAGAAAATGGTATTTCCAAATCCAAGGTGTCTTAATCGATGGCGTGCTTAATTCAATTTCACCCTTAGCCGGGAAAAAAATATATTCAACCATATTGTTTTCTCGCACCTTTTTGTAATTCGACTATGATAAATTAATAAGATGAATTGGTTTAGGGATATTGGAGAATGAACAAAAATGAAATTTTTTAGTATAAGAGAAGGGATATATGATTTATTTTTATGGAAAGTCTCCACTTCAAGTCAGTGGAAAAAAAGAGAAGGTTGGCTTTGGGTTTAAGCAAAGTTAATGAGGCTAATTTTGGAATAAGAATTTCAGAATTAAGGATTCCAAAATAGTTGTGAGGGTTTAGCTATTTTAAAGACCTATAATTGCTAGTTTTTTTACACTCATGATCAAGATCTCTGATTTTAGCCTCCTTCCCAATTGAAGAATTTAGTGAAATCCGTCATCATGAGAGAATTGAATAAAAATTCAATACAAAAATCTCATCCATATAACCCTAGACAACTTCAATCAAGTGATACGCTTAAACTTCTGCATGTGTGAAAAGAATTGTGTGAAACAAATTGTTTGATTGAGTAGAAAAGATGTACAAGGTGAGCTACCTAAAGGTTGTACCTGAAACCCTACAAGCTATTAACTATGTTTAAGATAACCTAACTAACTAGGAAGCTAACTACACGGTGAGCCAATCAAATATGCACAAGTTGCTAATGGTAATTGAGTATGCGCGAGATAAGGATGTTAAATAATCAACCACAAAATAAAGAGCACAAGAACTTTTTTAACGTGGTATCATCAGTATGACACTATTCCATGAAGAGGATCTTCCTCTCAGGTTTTAGATTTTCTTATTTCGTTTATCCTTCAGTACATCTTACAACGATTTAAATAGGTTTCTAACACAACCCTAAGTGCCGAGAGGCTATTTACAACTAAGTACCTATACTTAAAATTAACAAAAGAGGATGATGTCGTGTGGGGAGAACAATAACATCACGATGTCGTAATGTGCTTCTTCAAGCACCATCCAGTTAGACTCACGTCAGATGAGCCATCTTGTCACCTATTTCTTTTTGCAATTTCATCTTCCGAGCACGAACCAAACATTTTAATGTCCATGTAAGTTCTACCCGTTGTGGCTTATACTAGACCAAAGAGGCTCCCTGATAACCCATCAACCGTTTACTTCCTAAACTGTGAGCTTGGAATCATCGTTCGAACAATCAAAATTCAAGCTAACCACAAATAAGCTTCAGATTAGGCGCACCACGTACACTACTTGACTCGAGTTCAAAGTTCAAAGAGTGATCTTTTTAAGTGGGGAGGAATCAGTACTCATGCGAGAAATAGCCTTAGAAAAGGGGGCAACAAACTTTTATCCTTATGTTGAACATAGATTGGGTAACGTAAAGGTAATGGTGGCGACGACAAAGTTCCCACAACATCACACTCTCATTGGCCATCAAAGTTAATTGGTTGTGGAAACATCCATCTCCATGTTTGCAAAACAGAGAGCCGAAGCACTCACTCACGCCCATCCATGCAAATATCTGTGGTTGGCATGCAGTAGTGCATTACCCACTTCTACGAAAAAAGGTAGAAACTTTTCTTTGCATACATGAAAGAAGGGTAGCAAACAGATTCTTTCACATGTAAATGCAATAGTTCCTCGATCAATCTCCTCCGTAAACCATGACTTTAATTCTTCATTTTCCTTTTTCTTGTTCAATTGGTGGATATTTTTCTCCAATTACAATTCTAAGGTGGTGTGTCATGAAGTGATGGATTTGATAGACGCATAAGAAATTTGTACTTCTTACACGATTCTTTGGATAAACTTTGCATTTTAAGTGAGCGTGAAAGTTTGGACATGAGAGATCTGCTTGTTGGTGCATATTTAACGAATGAGTTCTCGAGAATTATGGTGAAATTTTTTGCTGTTGGTTCTTAGTAGGATCACGAGTCTTGAGTAAAATTTAAATGCATTCTTTTTAATATGAAACATAACATATAGTTAGGGTTTCTTGGATGTCATTGATCCTCCATATGCTTTTTTTTTACCGTATAGACCATATGATTTGTTTAGGATCGTGTCTTTCACCAATGCGTTTATGTTTCCTCAATCACCTACATGTCTTAGGTCTCAAATGATGGACGTCACTTCGATCATCCCACTTTCCTTTTTTGTATGTCATCCATTTTTTTTAGAAGGAACACAGCTCTTATGTGTCATCAATGGTTGTAACTATATCTTTCAGTAATGAGAACAATGACTATTGCAAATATATTCAAATATTGGAGGAGACCCTAGGCCTTAGTAAAATTAACAAGCATAAACACCCAAAATACCAAACTCATGTTTCTCTACCTCTCCCCACACCCAACAAGCATCTTTCATGTGATAGAGAATAGTTCATGCCATTTCTGTCATCTCTACCTCTCTCTCTTCTCCCATAACCATATTTCCTTCAATCCCTCCCATTGAGAAAGGCAAACTAATAATTAAGAGAGGTAGAAAACAAAAGGGAAAGGGAGAGGGGTATCTTTTGTCCTAAAATATTTCTCCTTATCAAGAAGGGAATCTTCCAAAATAATGGAGATCTACGTGTGCTAGTTGAATAGTGGTGGTGGTGGTGGTAGTACTTGTCATTGTGAGGGTAATTTTCCATCTAGCTAGAGTTAGTGTTGGAGGGATGTCTTTGTCCACTTCTAGGGAGGGAAGTGTTTGAGAAGCCAAACCAATTATATACCCAGTGCTTTGGATAGTTGCTAGCTAGCATTTATACTTATCACCAATTTTACCACTCACCAAAAAATGAAGAACTTGCTAACATCATCATACATGTTTCCTTTTATCTCCCATTATTATCTCTTTTTGGGGCACATTTCACCCCTTTAGCTTACTTTCTATCTTTCGCCAATTTTATTGAAGCGTGATGGCCACTATGTGCTATGCTTGAAAAGTCATCACATGGGGTAAAATAATTCCCTCTATACAAACATAGGGGCACAATTCCATTCAATTAGTTTTTATTCCTGGCTTGGGTTTCATCATTAACCTATAGTCAAAGCTAACATAACAATGGAAAAGCCCTGGTAGTCAGAGGAGTTTCATAAGAGCAATTTACTTTATCTTTGATAATAAGTTAATAACATTCATACAGATATATTACATATTTACATGTAATTGTAACTGTGTTTTGACCATCAAGACTATTTAATTCTCCTTTTTTTTTAATGTGCATAAAACTTAAAAGTATCTTCAAGGAAACAATATACAAATATACAATAGAGGAACTTGAGAATTCAGTCGAGGTTGCTCCAACGATTTTACCACTCATACTCCTGGAGTTATGGTGGGGCTATTTTGGTCACTAGTGTAACAGTTTGAGATTTTGGAGACAAACCCATTACATCTATGAAGATTTTTTCCCCCTAATTCAAAATGGAGTAAAACAGCGGTATAGAAACTATAGAGTAGAACTAATATATATTTGGTGTAAGATTAAAAACTAATAAGGGTAAATGATGAACCAAAATGAAAGAACACCACAATCATCTTGATTCTTGATCTATATAATAGGAGTCATTGAACAGGGGAAAGAGAAGATAGACAAAGCATAATGAGAGAGAGAGGGGGACGACCTTTGAATACATGCGTACATCATGCAATATACATATCGATCCACATTCTACAGTACAATGATAAGCCTCCAACTTGCTAGTGCATATCTAGTTATCTTTGTAGACATGCTTCAAGTTAAACATATATAGTCAAAACAACTGTAGCATCGTCATTACGGGGCGTTTGAATGAGATGAAGTGCAAATGCGGTGCTGAAAAATGTCTCGTTAGAATTTATGTATTATTCCAAAAACATTATAAGAAATAGACATATTGAATCATTAGATAACCAAAAAAATTTCCCTTCACTTATCAAAAGAGAAATCTTGTCAACGCAACTCATTTATGAAATGTTACGGTGCCTCATCCAAACGATTCCTTATGGTGTAATGAATTTTGTATTCTTTTGTCGCTATGTGTTGCAAGAACAAATGGAGTAAGCTGTGAGAACAGAGCGAGTGATATACAGATAAAAAAAATGATAGAATAAAAAAGCGCAGCACTGCAAAACCTACAAAATTCATGTCTTACCCGTTACCACCCTTGATACTAATCCTACCACCAACTAAGCATATTAGGATAATAGGATTCATATCAAGAATGATAAGACAACGAAAATTTTGTAGATTTGTAGCATTGAATTGTGTACTATGGCGTCGCAAATACTCGTCTTATGTTTAAATGCTCACAATTTTTCAACATTGTCACGAATAGGGATGGCAATCAAACTCATGGCCGCGGGTATCCGCCCACCTCCGACCCAGTCAACGCGGGGAATCCCCACATTGACCGGGTATGGGGTGGGTATGGGTAAAACCCGCAAAGAACTTGATGGGTATGGGACGTGTATGGTTTTAGCGTCCCCCGCCTCATACCCATACCCAAACCCGCCCCATCAAGGTATTTTGCTATAAAAAAAGCTATAAATATATTTTTATAAATTATTATTAGCATTAAGGTAATTAAATAAGAAAACATGATTAAAATGTAATTATATTTATCAAAACCCTTAAAATTTTAACCCCCTCAGCCGACTACAATTTACTTTCTCAATTCCTCAATGTCGCCGTCTTTCCTCTCCCGACCTCCTGAATCATCTTGGAGATGACCACCTTACCAAATTGTTGATGAGATAGTAATAGGTCATTGCATATCATTTTCTACATTTGAATTATTTTGATGCAAATTGGTGGAACTTAGTGTGTTTGAGTAATTGGTAGTCAAGTAGACTTTAATATTTTAGAAGCAAAAGAGGTTTTTGTCTAGTTGATAAGTTTATTTTAGTTATTTACTATATAGATGTGTTAGATTCGAAAATGAATGATTTGATATAGTATTATATTTTCATTTTATTTTATTGATTAATCAATATTTTAGGATTGAATGTTTTTTCCAATTAAGAAATACTATAACTATGTTGATTTCCGCTATTTATTATGTATGTTTGGTGTTATAATTGAAGACATACATGTTGAACTTTAGATATAATAATATTGCTTCTACGGGGCGGGTATTACCCATGGGTATCTGAAAACCATGGATATGGGAATGGGTTTGCAAAACCTCCCTCCGCATGGGTATGTACGGGTTTGGATATTTGGTAATGGGAATGAGATGATTTAGACAAACCCGTTCCATTGCCATCCCTAGTCACGAACCAAGGTTTTGGGGAATGGGATTCACATGTTCACGTGTAGGGTAGCAGAGGGGAAAAAGCATAAGACGATGGGGTTGGTGGTTCGCCGCATAAATGGCATTGGACGGCGGAGGGAGCTTCGAGCTTCCAACAATTCCCAAATAATGGCGGGGCCCTTTCCTCTTTTTTTTTTTTTTTTTTGGAAAAGCCACCACCTTTCCTCATAGGTCCACAATCTCACAGTCCAGTTGAGTAGAAGTAGATTCACCACTTCCATGCCCTTTCTCTCTTTTTCGGTCTTCCTTTTTCTCTTGGCCTACACACAGACTAACAAAGAGTGCTCTCTTTCTCTTCCTTTTAGTTTGCTTCCTTTTCTTTCTCATCTGTCTCCCTTTTACTTCATGCTCCTGCCCAATGTGTACTTTGTAGCGATCCTCCAAATGTTGTTAGTCTCCAAATAGGAAGTTCGATTTTTCCTCGTGAATTCGTGACAGTAATTCCACGACGCGCAGATCAGATATGCGACGTAGCTTCAGGTTGTTGTGCCGCATAATGAATGACAGTAATGCTAGTCTTCCGTATTGGTTCGTGTACGACGCTATTACGAGCATCCGAATCCCAGTTTATCAATAACACAGGTCACCACGAAAGCCTACTGAATTCTGCGCTGAAACATTCACTCGTATTCTCCTCGTTTCAGTACAAAAGCTCCTTCCTCTCCTCCCACACACACCCAGACATCCGTGGACCCAGCCTACTGATATATGTCCTGTTCGAGATACACAGGCCCAACCAGATGGCAGAAACATGGCCCAATAAATCAACCAAAATTGCAATGCATCTGCTCAACACAGTCGCTCTATAATCGACTATACCAAATGGCCAAAATAAGTAGAGCACCTCGCAATGCTATGATGTTCCGCTGGATTGTTTCGACCATGCCTCGTAAAACTGCACTTGCTGCAAAAAGAACACAGGATAGGGAGTTACGGATTCAAGGCATGAAATTGATTAGCAATGCTCGTTCGTTTCACACCAATCTTGTTGGAATATGCCAGCAAAGTGGATCATTCAGATCTTACCCTGCCCGTCACAGATGGAGAGATCTTTTCCAGTGCCCGATCGAAATGACAGGGTTGGATTGTGCGGAGGAGCATCTTCTCCTCATCTGGATCCCCGCTTCTCCTCACCTCCTGAAGAGCAATCATTGCAGCATCCTCCATCTGCCACGAGCAGAAAAAGCACAGAATATCAATCTAAGATAACCCATCGTCAATCTCATAAAACCTTAAGGAAGTGTGTGTGGACTTCAAACCAGCTTATTGAGATCTGCTCCGCTTAAATGTTCACAAGCTTTCCTCTTCCCAATTTCTGTGAAGTCTACTTTTGGATCAATAGGTTTCCCCCTAGCAAGAGCCTTCAAAATCAGCCCGCGATCCTCTGCACTTGGCAGAGGAACCAGGACATGGTTACCCAATCTGCCGGGCCTCAAGATAGCAGGGTCTATAACCTCAGGCCTGCAATGCACGTAGACAACTACTTTAGACTTCCGGTGGTAACAGAAGGAGACTGAGAGTGTCAAATACAGGGGAAAATGAGGTTGACCTATTAGTTGCACCAATCACAAAAACACCTTGCCGCTGGTCTGCACCATCTAACTCTATAAGCAACTGCAGTTGGGAGGGGGGAAATCAATTTGAAACCCTCTCAAGCGGGAAGTCACGAATACTTCCACAGTTAACTACATTCTGTAGAAACTATTGATTCAATGAATACCTGGTTTAGAGGCCGCTCCACAACCCACCCACCTTCCCTTCCACGGGTTGTTGTCAAGGCATCCACCTACAGGAAACACAAATGAACCATAAATTTTGATTAGTCAATGGTCTATTAGCTGTTTACTGAGCAATCAAATCATCCATGCTGCAAATCTCAAATTATTCACCTCATCAAAGAAGATAATACATGGTGAGCAATGCCTTGCACGGGTAAATAGCTTTCGAACTTCCAGCTCACTTTCTCCAACATATTTATTAAGAAGCTCAGGACCCTATACCATGGTGGTACACATAATAAGAAGCCATATGTTTCAAATACTCGTGCTAACGATATAACATCAAGATGAAATAAGGATAAGTCCAGAAGCATCTATCAAGAACTTGATGATCACGCCAATTTAACAGTAGTGGAAAATATTGAAGTATTTACTAACCTTGACGTGAATAAAGTTAGCCTCTGCTTCATTAGCAGCAGCTTTGGCCATTAATGTCTTGCCACAACCTGGAGGACCGAAAAGCAAAATTCCTGTCTTTGATGTCACTCCAAAATGCTGAAGGTGCATTAATATCAAGATTGCCGAGTCAGTGAGCCATTTAAGACAACGATTATTTGAAGTCAAGTAATCAAGTTGTTGCGAGACATCCACATTGAAGTTCAAAACCTTACATTAACTAGTATAGCATAACAGTGAACAACAAATCAAAGATAGTGAGTAATAGTGATATACCTCATAAAGCTTTGGATTTTTAATGCATTGGACTACATAATTCTTCAACTCATTCCTCACGTTATCAAGTCCTCCAACTTCATCCCATGTTACATTTGGAACAGAAGAGAACCCCTCTCTTGTCAATGACGGCTGAACCATCTTTGATGCAAGCTTTAGAACAACAGAAGCCAGTAAGATAGACAACACAAAGTACTAATAGCAAAGGGATAGTAAACCCCCTTCAGTGAACTCTGATAGCTTGAATCTGAGTTATTTGGTGCATTTACTTGGCTCTTTGCCCACAAAATTGTCTAAATCAATGCCAAAACTAAACATAGCTAAGAGGATAAAATGTCCCATACACTAAAAGTTATAGAAGCAAAGAATAAACTCAATCCAGCTCAATGATATTCATACCTCGAAATCACTCATTGTGATGGCAAACTTTTCCATATCCTCCTCTGACCAAGGTGTTCTCCACCATTCCTCAATTTTCCCATCCCTAGGTTCTTCAGATAATAACATCGATTTCCTCAGTGCGGCGATTCTTCTCAAGGCAAGGTTGCCTGCTTTGCCAACTAGAGCATCTAAATCAGCTCCCACAAAGCCAGGAGTAAGCTTAGCAATTTGCAAAAGATCCAATGAGCCCTCAAGAGTGCACTTTTTGGTAAGCACAGAAAGAATGTGAGCCCTAGCATCCTCATCTGGGACCCCTAACATAATCTCCCGATCAAACCTTCCAGGCCTTCTTAGTGCAGAATCAATGGCATCAGGCCTATTGGTAGCTCCAATTACCAGAACATATCCAGCTCTCTGCTCAGAGCTTTCTGCCTTCGAAGTCTCATCAGCTGGTTGCACGAGTTTATGGTATTCGTCCATGCAAGTCATCAACTGAGTCACGATTCTCCGCTCCATCTCTCTCTGTAGATTTTCCCTTTTCGAACCAATTGCATCAATCTCATCAATGAAAATGATCGATGGTGCAGACCTATATGCTTTAGAGAAAAGATCTCGGATATATTCCTCCGATGCACCTGAAAAATCATATTTCAAATAGCTTCACCAAAAGTATTTTGTTTTTTACTACCCCGGCACAAGTACACAACATCTCATCTAAACATTTGACACATATATAGAGAAAAGGTGCAAGTACGTAAATTCACCATCAGTTCTCCAAAATCTGTATTCTCACTGGTTCAAAAGACAGCTACCCTTAGTTACTCTGTGCAGCTAAGGAATGAAAAGATGAAGAACCAGAAATCCATACCTGACACACCAGAGACTGCCTCGGTAGCTGAAATCTTGAAGAATGGGACTCCAGTCTCATTGGCAATGGCGTGAGCTAACTTAGTCTTTCCACAACCTGGTGGACCATGGAGCAAAATCCCACTTATCGGCTTCACACCAAGGCGTCGCATCAAATGGGGATGGAAGAGTGGCATCAGAACCTCAGTTTCCAAATCTTCCAACACTTTCTTCAACCCACCAAAATCTTTAAACCTCGGCCCTTCCTTTCCCTTCACCTCCATATTATCACTGCTTAAAGCTTTAGCCCCAAGTTTCCCCCCTCTTTCTCCTTTCCCTTTACCTCCATTTGCCACAGCAATCTTGTCTTTAGAACTAGCAGCTACCTCAACCTCAATGTTCTTCTCCGGAGCGTAACTGTTTCGCAGCATCGATCTCATCAGATCGAACTCGGGCTCCACCGGCTCCTCATAAACCTCGTCCTCCGACATAGACGATGGCGTCGATTGGGACTCCGACTGCGATTCATCGCTCACGTCAAACTGCATCTTCTTCTTCTTCTTCTTCTTCTTCTTCTTTCTGCCACTGGCAGAAGCACTCCCTTCGTCATAATCGCCTTCCTCATCTTCTGCGGGCTGTTTCCCGAATTTTTTAGGCCGGCCAGTGGATGGCGACGAAGGAGAGTCGATGATTTGGTGGACGGCTCGAGTTAGAAATCGCTGTTCCATGCGACGGTAGTTAGGGTATTGCTGCCGGAGATGGTGGACGATATCGTCGGCGGTGGAGTACTTGCTCCTGCACGATTCAACCTGTTGTCTGAGTATTCTCTGGTTTCTCCCGCCGCTTCCCCCGCCGCTGCTGAATCTCCGTCCGGTTCCCATCTTCCCTTCGACGTTTCATCCACTGTTCGCGCCCCAGCAGGACAGGCAGAGGTTATAGGGTTTAGGAGAACTTGAAGCCGGCGTCTCCAAATTTCAGAACTTGCAATTTTGTCATTTTAATTGGGGTTAATACCTGTTTTGGCAAAAAGATTGGAGTAAGTGACAATTTTAGACTAAATTTTGGGTAGTTGTCAAACTCGCGAGTTGATCCGTGGGTTGACCTAATTTTGATCATGACCCGATAAGAAAAACAGATCACACATGTATCGGGTCGACCGTTGCAAGGTAAAGGGTTGGAGATATAAGTTGAACATTTGAATAATGATGTTATATAAATATGTGTGAATTTTTACTATAAGGTGATCCCAAACACATTTGGTGTGATGTTATGTGTTATTACTCATATGTTATATGAGATTTGATAAAATTTATAAATGTATGAACAACATAATGTTACATAGAGAACGTGAACTCGCCATGCATTAGTAACCTTTTTTTTTTTTTTTGCTCTGGACGCCTCGCGATTCACGGTCAAGGGCTCCTCTTCACGGTCTTGCATGACCGTGAACTTCCTGGGAAAGTCGTGAACTGGCCCTTTTTCACCTCTTCTCCTGGTTTTCGATCTTTTTCGCCCAACTTTCGACTCCGAGGCTGGTTTCACCTGTTGAATCCTGAAACACACTAAAACACGAGGAACCTAGCGTAAAACCCACTTTTTAGGAGTGAATTTGGTACAAACACCTAAGTAAAACGGGGGCAAAACATGTACAATTCGGCCCGAATCACTCCCCCACACTTAGACGTTTGCTTGTCCCCAAGCAAACCATTACACACAAGGTAATATTTCAACCTACACAAATACTTTGGGACAACTCAAAGGGCACGAAGCGGGAATTCTCAATGGTTATTGGCAATCAACACATGGACCGTTGCAAGCAATACCGACATCCACCACAAACGACATTCGAAGCCACCAAACACGGGCAAACGAAAAGTTCTCACCTTGTTCATGGATCAATGCAAGTCTCAACAAGACCACTTATCAACCACAACCAACCATGCATGGAATTCAAGTCCGAGGAACAAATGGAAAGGCAACAAAGGTCCTCATCGGGGTATGATATGACATGCAAAGCAAGAATGAATCACTCACTCTCAAGACCAGTGGGGCCCGGACCTTTTCGGTGTAAAAGACGTGCACAATCATAAACTCTCGGCCCTATCATCTCAATACCACGGTGGTAACCTCTAGATGTTAGAGTTCATGGGATAGTTGTCACCACTAGCTCGTCTGGAGGTCTTAGACACCGGTTCAGATGACTGTCAATTATCTTGGACATGGGAAAAATGCTTTTTTGGGTGGTGGCAATCACGACGTGAGGTTCTACATCTTCAACCTAAACCCGAAGGTTCTATGATTTTGACTAAAACCCCTCTTTTGAAACCAAGGGCACTAGCATCGGCCAAAATCCTTATCTCTCCTTTCCAAACTATCACCCATCGTGAACTACATTGAAGCGCTCTTTCTCGGTCTACCCTTGCTAGCACATTGGAAAGACAAAAACTTAGAGCCATAACTGTATCACATCCCTTAAGAAAAAATGCAACAACTCACTCCAATCAACTGCAATAAAAAAAAAAATTAAGGATACAAAGGAAGTCTTCTCTTCTTCCCTCCCTCCCACCACTCCTCTGATCACCTTACAGGGGACCCACCACCACCACCTCTCCACCTCCACCATTTCCCCCCATCTCTCTCTCTCTCTCTCTCTCTCTCTCTAACCTTTCTCATGTGTTTGAATTCAATAATCGGAAAGAAAGAAAAGGGTAAAAGAAAAACCAGGCAACGAACAGCAACAACAGTAATTTCGACGCTGCCGAGCTATGGAGCGAGATTTCATGGGATTAGGATCGCACACCTGAAGGCGACCGTGAAGGAGGAGACTCCTGCAGGATCCACCGCCAAGGATTCCGCATGGTGCAAGTACAAGTACAACAACTAACCCTAAGCAGCTGGACCAAACCCCCGCCGTCGCCTCCTCCCGCCGGTCGAATATCGACGGCGTGCTCACCGCCGAGTTGACCTACTTCTAGTTGTTGAAGGCGGCCTACTTCACTTTCCTTGTCGTCTTCTCGCTGCTTTCCACCGCCGCCGTCGTCTTCACCGTCGCCTCCCTCTACACCTCCCGACTCGATCTCTCCTTCCAAAAGTTGGCTTCTCCACCCCCCAGCTCGGATCCGATCGTCGCCCGCTCTTATGCCTCCTCCAGATTCTTCCTCCAGCATGCAGTCACAGGCGGTGAGGCGGTGGTAATTGGATGAGCTCTGGATTTTTTTTTTTTACTGAGATCTGTATTCAAATTTCATTAATCAGTCGAAGCGGTTACATTATCCATCTGTAGCTGATTAACAATAAAACTCGGTGGCGTATCAAGCCAAACAACTCTCTCATTCCAAGCTATTTCCTCATGAGCCATGTCATGGGCTGCCATATTAGCTTCTCTGTTAATATATTGGCATTTGCCATGTCCAGTAGCAGCAAGAAATCGGCTTATGCTCCAGCATATGACTCCGGTTTCATCTTGTTGATTTGTCGGATTCTGCAACTTGTGGAAAAGGTTTAGACAGTCGGTCTCCAAAACAGCATTCGGCAGCCGGAACTGATCCGCCAGTTGAGCCCCGAACACCGCCGCCATCACCTCGGCTCTTTCTGGTTCCCACCTTCCTCGTAACCTTTTAGCTGCAACCAAAATAAAGCTCCCCTCCGAGTCTCGTATCACCACTCCAAGCCCTGCACCCTCGTCTTCCATTATCCCGCATCAGTACATACCGAGGTAGTACCCCCTTCCGGTTTTCTCCATCCATGTCGCGCCTGGTGTGTGTGCCCTTCTCCTCGTTTCTGCTGGTTCTGTTTGTAGTCTTCTAGTAGAAGTTTAGCGCGTGTTGGTATCTCCTCTTCAGATACTTTTGCTCCATTGAAAAGATGAGCATTTCTCTCCTTCCAGAGATACCATAACAGCACACCCCAAACCTCCACCTCCTCCTTCGGTCGTTGTTCTAGCACTACCGCCACCCATTCTAGGAACGAACCTACTCCCCCTGTCTCAAAGAGGCCTGCAATATCTGTTCTCCTCCATATCCGACTGGACCATTCGTAATCTAGGAAAATATGCTTTTGGGTCTCCATTTGGTCACAAAAAGGGCGATTCTTCCCTCGATGAGGGATCCTATGACTTGCCCAAACGCCTGTAGGTAGAATCTCTCGAGCGAACCTCATAAAAATTGCCTAACCTTGGGAGGAACCCCAAGTGTCCATAACTTCTTCCATACTGCCGCCGTACCCAATGGAACCACTCCATTCTTTGCCAGAAACTCTTTTAGCCAAAACTTATAACCCTCCTTCACTGTGTACGTCCCACTCTTACTTGTGTGCCAAATCATCACATCCATCTCTTTGTTACCTCTTAGAGGAATCTGTCTTATTGCCTGGGCAACCTCATGTGGAAAACAACTCTCTAGGAGAGTTTCGTCCCACGTCCCCATTTCATCATCGATCAATTCCCGGACACAAGAATTGACAGGCAGCCCCATCGGGGCTGAGGGTATAAACTGATTCTCCAGGTCCGGAACCCACCGATCACCCCATATTTTCACATCCGAACCATTTCCAATTCTCCACCTTAGGCCACGCTTTAGTAATTCATGTGCACTCATCAGACTGCGCCATACAAAACTCGGTCGATATCCCATCGTAGCATCCAGGATTGACGTTCTCTTATGATATTTTGCTTTAAGAATCCGTGCTATGAGGGAGTGTGGACGCTATAACAGGTTCCAAAGCTGCTTTGCAAGAAGCGCTTCGTTAAAACCCCTAACGTCTCGGAACCCCATGCCCCCGTCTTCCTTTGAGCTCACCATCTCCTCTAGTCTTAAACCATGCGCCCTTTTCTCCGCCACCCTTTGCCCCCACCAAAAGTTCATTATTATACTATGAACTTCACCGAGAACTCCTTCCGGCACTCTGAACACCGACATTGCATAGGTAAGTTGAGCCTGTGCCACTGACTTGATTAAAACCTCCCTAGCTGCAACTGAAAGTGTTTTTTCTTTCCAACCGTTCAACTTTTTCCTTGTTCGGTCCTTAATTGCTTCAAACAGCAGCTTTTCGATCTCACAGCCTCGGTTGCCAAACCGAGGTACTTGTTATGCTTCTCCACAATTCGCATTCCCAGAACCCCGCCAATCTTGAGCCTTCTATGTGTCAAGACATTTGAGCTAAAAGATACTTCTGATTTCTCAAAACTGACCACCTGTCCTGATTCCTTTTCATAATCATTTAGAATTCGCTTCAGTTCCTGGCTTTCCTCCACATTTGACCTGGCAAAAAAGATACAGTCGTAAGCGAAAAACAGGTGGGAAATCTCTGGTGCTCCTCGAGCTGGCTGTATCCCGTGAATGCGCTTTTCCTTCACCGCCTTTGCAGTATATGCTGAGAGTCCCTCCGCACAGAGAAGAAATAAGTATGGTGAGAGGGGATCCCCCTGTCGGAGGCCGCGGCTTGGCTGGAAACGTGGTGACTGGTGACCATTCACCAAGACTAAGAATGTTACCGAACTCACACACAGCATGATCGCCTGCACCCATTGTTCATCAAACCCCATTCTTCTCATTACCCCGGCCAGGAACCGCCATTCCACCCGATCATAGGCTTTTGCCATATCCGTCTTCGCTGCTAAAAACCCCTACCCTTCTTTCCTTTATTTTTCATCGTGTGAAAACATTCAAACGCCGCCATCACATTATCTGAAATATACCTGCCGGGAACAAAAGCGCTCTGTTCTGGGGAGATAACCTTGTGCAGCACCGTCTTCAGTCTATTCGCTTGTACCTTGGCCACCAATTTATATAGAACATTGCATAAACTTATCGGGCGGTATTCTTTTGGACTCGTTGGCTGTTTTACCTTTGGGATCAGAGCAAGGAGCATATGGTTTAGGTCCGGGGGCATCTCTCCTTGTTCAATAATTCCTTTCACCGCATTGCATACATCATCGCCCACCACCTCCCAATATCATCGATAAAACTCTACTGAAAGGCCACCCGGTCTCGGCGCCTTTCTCCTTCC